GCTGCCAGCCCTGGGCCACCAGAGCCAGGTGGCCATGGGGACAGGGGACATTCCTGTCACCCCGCCAGGGGCTGTGGGGTGGCAAACAAGTGGGGTCTCAGCCATGATGGGAGATGGTTCCTGTCCCTCCTCCATCCCTCAGGAAATTTGGGAYKAGGCTCTGACACCMCCAGGGGTGTTGGGGAAACKGAGGCACAGCAGGGCTTAGTRGCAGCATGGATTCAGATCCTCATGGCTCTTTCCCATTTCCCATCCTCCCAATTAATTACGTGACCCTCATTTGATTTCCTCCCAGTATTTTCTCTGTAATTTTAGCCACGGGGCGTTTTTCTTGCATGTCAAGCTCAGGGTGGGGGGTCTGGAGTGGCAGGTTCAGGTCAGAACCAAGGACAAAGCCCTGGGCTCSTTTCCCACCCTCTCCCGGATGAAGTTGTCTCCTCTCCTTCCAGGGAAGCTCCGTGACGGGCTTTATTGACCCTTTTTTAATCTAAAATTGATTCTCYGCAACACTCCACCTGGTTGGGAGCCAGGCGGGATCTCGGCGCCGTCGGATGGGTTTTTATGATTTTCCATCAGAGCATTTTGTCTTTCCCCAGTGGTTTTGGGGGCTGAAGGGAGGGTTGAGCTGAGCAGATTTGTCTGGCTGAGGACAGACAAATGGACATGGAGGAGATGCTGAGGGATGGTTTGATTCTGATCTCTTTTTAACCTGTGGGGTGATCCCGATCCCTCTGCTCCAGGTTTCTCCTGTGTTTAAATCCCAGAGCTCCATCCTGGAATTGTGTCTATTCCTGGATAACCCTCACGAGCCTGGGACGCCTCTCCCCATGGATGAAGGTGATGAGACCTCTCTCGGATGAAAACCTGAGGATTCTGGAGCCAGGAGAGCTGGGAGGGATGGAGCCAAGCCCACAGTGGGGGTGTCACAGGGGGCCAGGTCCGCAAATGGGATCCCCAGCAGCTGCACAGTGAGGGGTGGGGACATCCAGGGCTGGTGGAGGTCGCTTAGGGGGGAATAAACACAGAGGTGCCTGCAGTTCAAACCGCACATCTCGGTGTGGGTCCAGCCCCGGCTTCCTGAGCCCGGTTCGGAACATCCCCCACCACGGCTCTGCGCTGTCTGTGTTTCTGAACGCACAAAAGCCAAAGCGTTTTCTGCAAAACCCCTCATCCCTCAGCCATACATGAGCCTCCCCGAATGCTCCTGGGAGCACAGAACAGCCCGGGAGGCAGAGAATTCCCCGGCGTGGAGGATGAAGGGGAAGCTGCAGGTGTGGAAGGTGCTGCGGGCTGGTCCCAGCAGCGCACGGGGATGAGCCCTGGCAAGCTCGGATGGGCTTGGACCACACACACAAATGCAGCTCCATCCCTCGAATCCCGGCTGGATGCTGTGGCACCTCAGGCTGCGTGGGGCCGGCTTAGGCGACGCTTCCGTACAAGATCGGCGCTGAAGATTAAGAAATCACGGAAATTAAAAGCAGCAAACTGTTTCCAAGTGCTTCTGCCAGGCGGCATTTCAGCCTGAGGTTCCTAAAGCACTGGGAAAGCAGCAGCATCCCGGTGATTSCTCGCGCTCTGCGATGTCCCCGAAGGTGCGCTATGAAAACAGAACAAAGGCGAGCGGGTGGGTGGCGGTGAGGGGCCGTGTCAGCCCTGTCTGCACCCACCTCCCTGCCCAGGGACCCTGCCCCCGGCCAGCACTCGCCCCCGGCCCCAGTCGCGTGTGCCGGAGCGGGGCTCTGCGGAGCGGGGCTCTGCGGGGAAACCTGGAGGGCTCCCGCCGGGCTCGGCCATCTGTCCCYTCCGCAATCCCAGCTGCTGCCCTGGCATGGCCACCCCAGGGGAGGTGGCGGGGTCCCCGTGCTGCGGGTCCAGGCGCCGCCCAAGGGCCGCAGGGCCGGGGGATGCGGGGAATAAGATGGGTTGCGGGGGGATATGGGGGGAGCATCTCGCAGCCCTTCTCCAGGGTCTCACTCAGCTGCACCTGGCTCCGGAGGGGAAAAAAGAATAATAATAAAAATCTGCCATTTAAAAGACAAACGCTGATGATTAAAGATAAGGATAAGGCCAGGCGGGAGCCGCGGTGCGCCGGAGGGGCCGCGCTGCCCGCGCCCCCGGAGGCCGCCAAGGGCTCGGCGCGGCGCGCGTGCCC